ACTCACAGAGGCCTGCCTCTGCCTCCCAAGTGCTGGGACTAAAGGCATGTGCCACCACTGCCCTGCTTTACTGTGGTTTTTAATTTTTTTTTTTTTGGTAAATTAGAACTTGAGAGATTTCACCCACGTATGTAAGAGGCAGGCACAGAAATGATTGTCTGTGTGTGTGTGTGTGTGTGTGTAGCAATACAAAACAATAGATATTTTAAATCTCAACAATAGATTAGTGAATTACTGGTGTTTATTGTTATAATGGAAAATTAGAAGAAAAAATTAGCTTGGTCTTAGAATATAGCACAGTTGGTAGAGCATTTGCCTGGAATATACAAGGTCATGGGTTTAATCCCAGTACTGTCAAATGAGCAAGCTATTATATGCATTAAAAACACTCAAAGCATGAGCCATATTTTGTCTCCATTCAGAGAGATCCACTCCATCTGGGAGGGAGGTCAGGACATGTGCAAACAAAATGGGTGAGACATGGCCCTTGAAGAGACTCCACCACCTGCTGCAGGAGAGCTGGATGTGCGGGCCAGTTCTGGGGAGATGCTGGCTGTGACCTTGCCATAGCAGTCAACAGAAACTAGGAGGAGGAGGATTCTAGCCCTCATCTCCCCTCACACTCACCAGTGTCCCTCCTTTGTCCCTTGCCTGTGGACACCAGGCCATTGCAAGCCTTGCCGACTGCTCCCTTTCCTCGCAACACTTCTTTCTCCTCTCTTCAACTGTCTCCCAGAATTAGTTAATTTTCTGTTGACACCACAAAGGCCAACTTTGGGAGAAAGGTTTTATTTCAGCTTATAGTCCCAGGGGTTCAGCCCATCAAGGTGGGGGAGATGGTGGCAGGAACTTCAGGCAGCTGGCCAGGTGCAAGGGCAGGAAGCAGGAGATGCAGGCAGCTGGTCAGGTGCATGCGCAGGAAGCAGGAGATGCAGCTGGTGCTCAGCTGACTCTCCATTTACATTCAGTTCAGGACCCCATCCCAGGGAACGGTGCTGCCCACACTCAGGGTCAGTCTTCCCATCCCAGTTAATTCTGTCTAGAAATCCCTCAGACATACTCAGAAGTATATGTTGAAGGTTTACTTTATTATTAATCGTGTGTGTGTATGTGTGTGTTTGTGTGTGTGTGTGCGTGCGTATGAGTGCAGATGGACCCCCTGGAGATGGAGTTACAGGTGGTTGTCAGCTGCCTGACATGGGAACTGGAAACAGATGAACAGGTGTTCATCTGCTGATCTCTCCAAATTTGTCTCCGCCTAGAGCCTAGAGAGCTGATGAGCAGCATGAACCATCACACTCTTAGGCTGTTGTAGGGCTTAGGGGTCACTTCCTCATCTTAGAATCCAGTGAAGCAATGGCTGGTGTGAGTGTGTGTGTGTACACTAGGCCTTGCAAATTGGTGACTCTAGGTAATACATCAGTTAACTGACATATCCCAGTGGTTTTCCAATGTGTTGGTCCAGTTCCAAGCAGAACGTAGCCCAGTACGATTAAGTCCTGAAGGATGGGGTAGGAGACCCAAGTTTGATTCCCAAAATTTACATGGGTTTTAGGCTGATCCCCAGGCTGACCCCCAGGCTGATCACCTCAAACCCATGGCAACTCTCCTTGGCCTCTTGTGTTGGGGGGGCTCCAGGCATAAGAACCCATGCCCAGCTGAAGTATTTCTTCTAAAAGGTGTCTTTAAATTTTAGAAATGCAACACAATTCAGATTTTTAAAGGAAGGGCTGACCTATATAAAACTATTAACTAAGTGGATGGAAAAAAATAAGGGCCAAGCTTATAACTTAAGTGTTCGGGAGCCAGAGGCACATAGATTTCTGTGAGTTTGAGGCCAGCCTGGTCTATATAGACCTTGTAGCAAAAGGAAGGAGACAAACTGGAGGAGGAAGGAAGAGAAGGAAAACAGGGTTCTGGAGGTGGCTCACTAGATTAAAGTGCTCACTATATGAGTCTGACAACCTGAGTTCAGTCCTTAAAGAACTCTTTGGCTTCTGAGCTCTACACTCATTGTGGCACGTGTGCCTGTGCTCACACACACACACACACACACACACACACTGAAAAGGAGGAGGGAAAGGAGCAAGAAGAAAATAAAGAGAGCCAGACACGGTGGTGCATGCCTGTAATCCTAGCTCCTGGGTGGCAGAGACAGGAAGATCAGGAAAGCCACCTTCAGCTGTGTAGCAAATTCCAGACTAGCCTGAGCTATATGAAACCCTGTCTCATAAAACCAAAAAGTGATGGCTCAGCAGTTAAGAGTATTGGCTGTTCTTCCAGAGGACCTAGGGTGGATTCCCAGCACCCATATGGCAGCTCCCAACCATCTGTAACTTCTAGTTCCAGGGAACCCAGTGCCCTCTTCTGACCTGAGGGTACCAAACACTCTCATGGTGCACATACATACATACATACAGACATACATACATAAATGCGAAACACCCATAACATAAAATGCAATACAAAATTTATAAAAAACAAGAAAGAAAAGAGAAGAAAAATAGGTTCCATGGTACATGGTTTGAGAGGTGGTGTTTATTAAACCAAGCCTTCAAATTATACACCCACCTACAGTCCATATTAGTACATATACAGTACATATACAGTACATATACAGTACATATGGAAGGAAGGGGCTAGCCAAGCAGAACTGGCAGAGAAACAATTCTGTTTGGACAGTGCTCCCTCACCACAGCACCCTCCCGAGGCCAGCTGTTAAAACACCAGAAGGCTGGATTCGCAGACAGACATTTGTCCCGAACTGTGGTGGGGAGGGGAGCAGCAAGGCAATAGTTTAGTTTTACATTCACAGATTAGGTATCTAATCTAGGTGTCTCTGCTCCTATTGCCGCAGCTCGTGAGAGGCATCCATCAGCAGGTGGTCACAAAAAGACTGAACTCAGAGCGATGCTTCTGGCTGTCAGAGCACAAAGAAATTTACCTGTCCCCATCATGTGTGGGTCATGATAAGCACATCAGTCAGCTGAGGTCAGGTCAGTAAGGGGCACTCATGAGGGAAAGGAAGGAAGGACCCAGAAGGACAAGGCCTAGAGAGAAAGCGAGTGTCAGTGAGGATGTGAGTTAGGAGACAAGACACAGGGCGTTAACAGCTCCTCACTATCCTGCTTTGTAGACACCACAGTAGCTTGCAGCCCTTTGGATATCTTAAAAAGTAACTCTTTGTTACCTATGTACAAATGTTTTTTAAAAAGATTCATCAGGAGACAAGAAAAAAAATTGATTGACAACATTATGAAAACTGAAAACTTCAGCTGTGCGCTTCCGTAGACTTTTAGGTATGGGCCTCCACAATGCTCCAAAAGTCTTTCGGGAGAATTTAAAAATTCCCATAAAAACTTATTTTTACAATCATTTCAGTTATATACGGGGTGTTGACTGGGGTGGGGGACACCAAGCCCAGGATGAGGGAGAGGAAGTGGAGAATCCCCGAAAGCTAGAAGCACGTGACTGGCTGACATTCACACGTCCATCCTCTTGGGCTGGTGATTTTAAATAGAGATACACTCACTCACAGTCTAACTCTAGACTCCAAAGCACTCACTCCATATAGTGTGCGTTTCAGCGAGGCTGACATCACCTTCTCTGTACCCCACCCTGTCACCTGAGAGCTCCCTCAAAACTGCAATCCCAGCTACTCAGGAGACAGAGGCAAGAAGTTGACAAGTTCGAGGCCAGCCCAGGCTACATAGAACAAACTCTCACAGGTAGTTAGCTCTCCTAATTTCCTGCGGGGAGTGAGGGTCACCTCACTCTGTAGCAGTCTTCTCTAGACATTTGGACTGATGTCTGGTCTAAGTGTGGGGACCTGTTAGCTTAGTAGGTACTAGCACCCAGGCTGCACCTAGGAAAGTGTGCAGAGGTGACTTTTCCAAACTCACCTGGCCATTCCAGGGGCCACCTGGAATAGCCAAGACTACAGGACACATGCCTCCTACAGAACACTGTTCAGTGAAGGCCGAGCTACAACAGTTTCTCCAATGCAGTGTCTCTCAAACTGGAGTGGGCATCAGAAACACACGGGAGAAGAAACACAGGAGCCATTCTTGAGGCCTGGGACCCGCTTTTTAAAGAGTACAGTGACCCTGCTGGGTGGGGGACATCACTTGCAACAGTGACCTTCCTCAAGACTCTTTGCCCCACAAATCCCCAAGGCAGGAAGCCCTCCTGTGGCCTCAGGGAAGGCTGCAGGTAGCGTTCCTACAAACCGTTAGCTAGAGGTTGAAGAGGCCCAGTGACATCCTAACACGTTCCGTCCTGGAGGGACAGAGGAATATGTACTAGGCTCCTGTCCATGTCCCTGGGTGACCAGGGACAGCTGTGCCTTCTTACGTGAGAAGTGACAGTGGCCTCTTTCAGTTTTCCATAAGCCTGAAGAGACACAGGTGCAGAAAAGCCCCATCCAACAAAGAGCATGATAAAGTGTCTGTCCCCAGAAGGACATGTCAGCCACTGCAGGGATGTCCCCTTCCCCTTCCCCTGCTGGGTCTGTGTAAAAGCCCATCTGGCAGCTAGCCAAGAGGAAAGAGGCAAGAAATGTGGCACATCTTTATCACGAAGAAATAAGTGGACTAGCTGATTAAAACACCCCCTTGTTAATCGACCAAGCCACAGCCCAAGGAGTTTGCTGGATGACTGTATCAGAGAAAAAACAGTTCCTCCCTCCACTCTCATATAAAAGAGTCACATCCATAAAATTCATAAAATTTAGCTGAGTTAGTTCCAATCTCAAAAGCTGCCCTGGTGGGGAGATTTCGGATGTGATCATTAAAATAGACACCTGATTAGGGTTCAGAGACACACCCACAGAATGAGAAAGGAACACACACACGCGCGCGCGCGCACGCACACACACACACACACACACACA